AACCTGCCCAGCCGGGGCTGCAGGAGCTTCCCGGGGCTGCAGGCGACGGTGTGCCTGCCCAGCGAGCAGGGAGGGATCAGCTCCTCCTTCCCTCCTGATGGGAAGTGCCTGGACACCCTCTGGCACACCAGAGAGGGAGCAGCGCTGGGGGCGCAGCCAGGAGTTCCTTCTCCTGCTGCAGAGAGCCCAGAGGAGCCATGGAGATGCTCCAGCTCTGCCCTGGAGCCAGGCTGGGAGAGCTGGGGGTGCTCACCTGGAGGAGAGAACTCCAGGGAGACCTCAGAGCCACTTCCAGTGCCTCAAGGGGCTCCAGGAGAGCTGAGAGGGACTTGGGACAAGGGATGGAGGGACAGGACACAGGGAATGGCTTCCCACTGCCAGACTCACTGCCAGAGGGATACTGGGAAGGGATTCCTGGCTGGGAGGGTGCTGAGGCACTGGCACAGGGTGCCCAGAGCAGCTGTGGCTGCTCCATCCCTGGGATTGTTCCAGGCCAGGCTGGATGGGGCTGGGAGCAGCCTGGGCTGGTGGGAGGTGTCCCTGGGGATGGAACTGGATGACCTTTAAGGTCCTTCCCACCCAAACCACAGTCCTGGGATTCTCAGTGCCAGAGCCTTCTGCACCCACTCACCAGCAGAACCAGGACTGAAGGTGCAGGAATGAAACATTCCCATTCCCACACTCACAGGGCCCTAGAAAATGAAGGGATTTTGCAGTTTTGTTATCATTTTAACCTCAAGAATGTTTTGACATCCAGCAAACACCCCCTGGCCCAGTGGGACACCAACAGCCACCACAGCTTTGCTCCAAACTGGGATTTTGCCTTTTATTTCTGGGATAATGGCTGAGGGAAGAGCAAGGAAGGGATGTGGGGAGGTCTGAGGGATGCAGGAGGCAAAGGAAAAGGAGGAATTGCACTGGGAGAGCTGCAGGAAGGTGACAGTGACACAGCACCTTGACTTGGAAGCTCCTGGAGATGCTCTTCCACAGCTGTTCCTTCTCCTCCCTCAGGTATGGATGGAAGGCGTGGGCAGGATCTGTGTGCTCCCAGCTGGATCCTGGGCTAATCTCCTGCTCCCAGCTGGATCCCACACTGTTCCCCTGCTCCAAGTGCCACGGGTGGCTGCAGCATCCCAGGGTCCCTGTCCCTGACAGTGCAGGAGGAATGCAGCACCCCAGGGGATCCAGGATGTCCTGGCAAGGAAATTAGAGAAGGAGCTCCAGGCCCACACAGCCACCAACCAGGTTGTGACTGTCACCACACATCCTGCCCCTCAGATCCCAGCAGGAACAATGCCTCTTCCCAAAACAGCATCAAAACTTCCCTGAACTCCCCAAAACAAGGAGCAGAACACTTATTTCAGCCTTTCCTCTGTTTCCTGCCCCCAGCCTGGGTCAGACAGCTCAGATTCC